GAACCTGTCTGTCTCCACCCACCAAAACTGGAGTTACAGGTATATGAAGCCATGCCTGGTTGTTTCTGTGCGTAGGGATGCAGAATTCAGGTCCTCTTGATATCATAGCCAGCACTTTTACCTGCTGAGGCACCTCTCTGATGTCAAACTGACTTTTAAAATGACAAATTCACTCTCAAAGTAACCCACTAATCAATCTATGAGGGGCAGTGCCCTTTGACCTAATCACATCTTAGAAGGTCCCACTTGGTCCTACATACCACTCCACAATGAAGAAGTTAAACCATACAGGCGTAATGTGATATTTTAGGCTGGATTGTTTTTTGTTGTTTTTTTTTTTTTTCCTAACACTATGTTTCTCTGTGTAGTCCTGCTTGTCCTAGAGCTCTCTATGTAGACCAGGCTGACCTCGAATCCAGAGATCCACCTGTCTTGGCCTCCCAAATGCTGGGATTAAAGGTATGCAGCAGTATGCCCAGTTGGATTTTATTTTTAAAACAGTGTGTCCTGTATCCCAAGCTGGTCTAGATTTCCTTGCCAAGGAAAGGAAGGATGACTCTGCACTTCTGACCTCCTGTCTCCACTTTCCTCCTGAGAGTTGGGATCACAGGTATATACCACCTTGCTTCGTTTATTTGGTGCTGGGGATGGAACCTAAGGTTTTATGTGTGTTAAGCAAGCATTTTATCAAACTACTGCATCCCTGCTCCTTAGTTTTATCTATTTTTTTGAGACTGGCTCTCATATAGCCTATATGCAATACCTAGGCTGGCCTAGTTCTAGCAATCCTCCTGTCTTCTGAGCTGGGATGACTGGTATGAGCCTACATGAACAACTGAATAATTTATGTCAGAATAATCTGGTTGGGAAGCTTCTAGGGGAATTCTGAGTGTCCTAGCTTTTTCTCTTAGGTTGACTAGACTTCCCAAAGAACCATCTCTGGAGGATGAAGTCCTAGTAGTTTATATCCTGGAAGAAATGTGGCAGAAGGCTTCAGCATCAGTGTACATACTGCTGTTTATTTATTTAGTTTTTGGTGCTGGGCCTGGTACCCGGGGCTTTCTGTATATCAGGCAAGTACACTATCCCAGGGCTCCAGCCCAGCCCCTGAATATTGCTTCACTTGCTTTGCTATCTATATGGCCTTGCCCTTGATGGTGCCTGGGTTTTTCTATTGAAGAAACCTTTATTTTTGCCAATTTGGAAAAAAACCCATCTCCTGCGGTTAGAAGTGGTCCTTCACTAGAATTTGACACTGGGACCTCAATCTTGCAGTTTTTTTTTAAATGTTTATTTATTATGTATACAGTGTTCTGTCAGCATGTTTTGCCTGCATGCCAGAAGAGGACACCAGATCTCATTACAGATGGTTGTGAGCCACCATGTGGTTGCTGGGAATTGAACTCAGGACCTCTGGAAGAGCAGCCAGTGCTCTTAACCTCTGAGCCATCTCTCCCAACTCTTGCAGTTTTTTAACCAATCACTTTTGCTTCCCTCTCTGCGATTCCTTTTTAGAGTCACTTGATGCCTCTGCCTCCTGAGTTCTGGGCTTAAAAGTATAGGCTACCACTGTCTGATGAGACCCTGTTTCAAAGGAACAAACAAAACTACCACCACCACCACCAACAAAACCAAACAAAACAAAGGGAGGAAAATGAGAGAGACTGAAAGAAGAAAAAACCTTGGCCCCAGGTCACCAGAGTACAGGCAGAGAACACAGGCTGAGGAGCCTGGATCTTAAAGCAGGCCTTAGATATTGCAGCCTTGTGCAATACACATCCACTGAGAGGTAGGACTTGATGGTCTAGTTTCTCAGTATAATTTTCTGTCTGCCTGCTTTGCAATCAACTGAGAAATTTTTTAAAGAGCCAGACTTTTGGGTCTCGCCCCATATCTACTCAGTAGAAAGCTCTTAGGCCAGAGTACAGGTATTTGCCTTAAAAAATATTTACTGTCTCTGTATACGTGTGCCCCCATGGACAAGTGTGAGAGTCAGAAAACAACTTGTAGACTTGTAGGAGTCAGTCTTTCCTTCCCCGATGTGGGGTCCAACTATGGAACTAAGTCATAAGGCTTGTCAGCAAGTACCTTTTCCTACTGAGTCATCTTGCCAGATAGTATCTTCCTCACTCCATAGCCCTGGAACCCAGTATGTAGCCCAGGCAGGTCTCTAAATCATGAATGATCCTCCTGCTCAGTCTCCCTAGTGCTGGAATTATAAGCATGAACCACCATAATCAGCTCTATATGTGTGTGTGTGTGTGTGTGTGTGTGTGAGAGAGAGAGAGAGAGAGAGAGAGAGAGTTTTTTCTTTTTCTTTTAAGACAGGGTTTCTCTGTGTAACAGCTCTGATTGTCCTGGAACTTGCTTTGTAGACCAGGCTGGCCTTGAACTCAAGAGATTGGCCTGCCTCTGCCTCCAGAGGGCTGGGATTAAAGGCATGCGCCACCACCACCCAGTTTACTCTCCCATTTTTTTTTAAAGATTTTTTTTTTCTTTTTTTCGAGACAGGGTTTCTCTGTGTAGCTTTGGAGCCTATCCTGGCACACGCTCTGGAGACCAGGCTGGCCTCGAACTCACAGAGATCTGCCTGCCTCTGCCTCCCTTGTGCTGGGATTAAAGGCCTGCGCCACCAACGCCCAGCCATAAAGATTTTATTTATTTATTATGTATACAGTCTTCTGCCCGCCTGCCAGCAGAGGGCACCAGCTCTCATTCAAGGTGGTTGTGAGCCACCATGTGGTTGCTAGGAATTGAACTCAGCACCTCTGGAAGAGCAGTCAGTGCACTTAACCGCTGAGCCATCTCTCCAGCCCTACTATCCCATTTAAAAAAAAAAAAAGAAATTTGTTTCATCTTCATGAGTCTGTGCCTACATATATGTATTTGCACTAAATATGTGCCTGGTGCCTGAAAGGTTAGAGAGCTTTGGATTCTCTGTGATTTGAAGTACAGATGGTTGTGAGCTGGGAACAGAACCCAGGTCCTCTGCAAGTACAGCAAGTGCTCTTAACAACTAACCGAGCCACCTCCCCAGCCTTCCACCTTGCGTTTTGAAATGGAGTCTCTTCATTTGGACCTGGGCCTCACCAAGGCTGGGCTGCCTGGCCAGTAAGCTCCTGGGATCCTCTTTTTTTCTTTTTTGGATTTTCGAGACAGGGTTTCTCTGTGTAGCTTTGGAGCCTATCCTGGCACTCACTCTGGAGACCAGGCTAGCATCGAACTCACAGAGATCCGCCTGCCTCTGCCTCCCGGGTGCTGGGATTAAAGGCGTGTGCCACCAACGCCCGGCCGCTCCTGGGATCCTCTTGTCTCCACTCCCTGGTGCTGGGATTACAAGTACTGTGCTTGGCATTTCTGCATTGGTGCTGGAGATTGAATTCAGTTCCTCACACTTGATCAGCAAGCACTTTACCAACTGAGTTATCTCTCTAACTCCTGTTTGTTTATGAGACAGATCTTATTTAGGTCAGGATGGCCTCAAATTTGCTGTGTAGACAAATCCTGATCCTGTCCCAATTTCCCAAATGCTGGTGTTATAGGCATGGATGGGCCACTATGTCCAGCAAGAATTTGTAGTTTTCAGAATTTTTCCTAGGACACATCTTTTTTTCCTCATACACATTAAAATTTGTTTTGGAACAGGTAGCAGTGGGGTATTAAATTCTGCACCTTGCACATGTTAGGTAAGCAACCTAATATTGAGCTGCCTAGGCCCATAGTATCATTTAAACAGAGGTGCACACAAAAGGTTATTCTGGGCAGATCTCAGTAGACATCTACAGAAGTGGTATAAATTTGTTTGGACATAAGATGAGGATGATGAGCTACTTAGGCTTGTCTTTTAGCTCTGTCTTTACTGTCATTATCCTTCTCTCAAAGCATGCTTTCTGTCTTTTTCAGCCTCCTTGCCCACCTCAACAGCTCTTTTGTTGGCTGATCTCAATAGTTTTCTGCTCTTAGGAGCAGGGAGGTAATACCCACAGAGAGATGGATGTAAAGTACCTGCATACACAGGCTGACAAGTAGAGGGTACTGTGTTACAGGGTGTCAGAAAGCGCTTCGGAGTCAGGTAGACAGGAGGACCAGGCAAAGCACATCCTCCTGGACAGATAGTGAAAAGCCTATCATAAACGTGGGTGGACGTAAAGGCAGGACAGACAGCATACCCAGCCATTAAAGGAATGCCAACCACACACTGAGAGTTCTTAGGTTGGGGGCGGCACAGGTGATTACTCAAAACTGTGAAGTGTACCGGGCCATAGTCGGTCCCTTTACTGTGAAGTGATGAATCCTGGGGACTTCACCCTAGCTTCCCGCGCCTTGGCCATTTCTATCTCATTGGTTACTGCGGAAGGAGCCCAAACCCCAGACTTGGTGGGAGGTAGGCTTCATGTGCTCCTGGATGGGTACTAGTCATACAGCAAAGGAGATCATCCACTGCCTTTTATGTCACCTTTACTTGAGCTCTCAGATGCCGGCGGCCTAGTTTTCTTTATGGTTTGCAGTTTAATTTCATACACGTCCCTTGGGCTTTGGCTCTTCTTGGAGTGCTTTGTTCTAACTCCCTGGTCGACTTGGAAGCGTCACCATTTATTTACAGGTCACTTTCCCTTTAAGCCAGTTACTAGTCCACTTTCCCAGACGCCATCACGTTCCCGACAACACTTGCAGTTTCTAAGAGTACCACAGCTCCCATAAACCTTACGGGCTCTGAGGAACTAACTTCAAGTACCGAAATGCTCTAAGCGTTTACGTGCTACCGCGCTGATCCATGGGGATTGTAGTAACCTAGGACGTGCAAGGCAACAACAACAAACAACAAACAAACAAACTACGAATCCCAGGAATCCCCGCGTCAGAGGAGGGGCTCTAAGTCTTTCTGCGCACCATTTACTCCAACTTCAGACTACAACTCCCACCATGCTTTGCACTGAGTTCCCTGAGGTAGAGAATGGGCTGTTGCAAATGTGTTCTCTGGGAATTGTAGTTCTTATGTTTGTGAGGCGAGTAGTAGGCGGAGTGACTCGGCGGCCATTAGCTGTGTGTAGTTGCCTGGCGCTAGGAGCTTAAGTGAAGCGGGAATTCTTACTCGGTGGAAATCAACCCTGGCCATGGGTTCTTGCCGAGGATAGCCCTAGAACACGGAGCAGGGGGCGCTTTTCGGTTCCCCGCCTTGCCCAGTAGTGGGGCCTACTAGGCCGCCGGGACATCCCGGGTCTCAAGTAGGCCTAGTCTGCGGGCAAGGGCGTCCCAAAGGCGGGAGGCGCCATGTCTCTGGTTGCTTATGCCAGCAGCGATGAGAGTGAGCCGGATGAACCGGAGCCGGAGCCGGAGGAAGAGGATGTGGCGGCTCCTATGCCCGGGCCCGCTTTAGGAGGCCTGTTCGCTTCTCTCCCCGCACCCAAGGGTCCGGCCTTGCTGCCCCCGCCCCCCCAGATGCTGGCCCCAGCCTTTCCCCCGCCACTGTTTCCTCCCCCGCCCACCGGAGACCCCAGGCTGCAGCCTCCTCCACCTCTGCCCTTCGGCCTGGGCGGCTTCCCGCCACCTGCAGGAGTGAGCCCAGCTGAAGCTGCCGGAGTTGGGGAGGGGCTGGGGCTGCCATCGCCCCAAGGCCCTGGTCTCAGTCTGCCCCCAGCTGTGGGCAGTGTCGGACCCCCCTTGGGACTTCCCAAGCCAAAGAAGAGAACCGAGCCGGTGAGGATAGCGGCGCCGGAGCTGCGTAAGGGCGATGTGAGTATCTAGGTGGTCACCGCAAGTCCCATTGGGTTTGAGTTTAGGGGTAGGAGGGACTTGTGGCCGTAATGGAGCTTCACAAACTCATCCGTTGACTCAAGGCCGCTAGAATCCTCTTAGAAGGCGGTTAATTCACATGAACTTGTCAACTTTGGGGAGTTAGGGTATTGGCCATGGGGCATTTTGGAACCCTGGGCTGGCTTGCAGAAAGGGTTAAATGGTATCCTTGGTACTGACAGGCCAAGATACATGCATAGGGACACTTCTTTCCGTTTTAGCATCTTCGTCTCAGGTTGGCCTCTCCTCTTCCCATATTGAGGTCAGGATAAAACGTGGGCACCTGAAGGGACAACTGATAGGACTTCAGTGCCCATGTTTAACATCTAGGACCAGTCTTTTTTTTTTTTTTTTTTCTTTTTGGTCTTTGTTTTTGTTTTTTGTTTTTTGTTTTGATTTTTCGAGACAGGGTTTCTCTGTATTGCTTTGGAGGTTGTCATGGAACTCACTCTGTAGACCAGGCTGGCCTCGAACTCACAGAGATCCGCCTGCCTCTGCCTCCCGAGTGTTGGGATTAAAGGCGTGCGCCACCAAAGCCCGGCTTAGGACCAGTCTTTTTTGTTTTGTTTTGTTTTTTGTTTTTATTTTATTAGTTCAATTAGGAACAAGCTTGCTTCAGATGTCAATCCCTTCTCCCTCTCCCTCCCCTCCCCCCCAACATCCCACCTGCCCCTAGCCATCCCCCCTCCACTCCCCAGGCAGGATAAGGCCCTCAAAAGGGGCTCCCCAAAGTCTACCACATCATCCTGGGCCAGGCCTAGGCCCTTCCCCATGTGTAGGACCAGTCTTATCCTTTGCCCCATCCCTAAAATAATCAGGCTTGGTGGTGTAAACAATATTATTTTTGGACTTTGTGCTGTAGAACAGGCTGGCCTCGAACTCACAGAGATCTGCCTGCATCTGCCTCCCAAGTGCTGGGTTTAATGGCATGCGCTAGTACTGCCCGGCCTTGGACTTGTTTTTGAGGGGAACTAGAGAAGAAATGGAGTATTTATTTATTTTGAGACAGCTTCACTGTGTAGCCCAAGCTTTCCTTGGGTCACTATGTAGCCCAATCTGGGTCCCAATTTGTGATCTTGCTTCAGCCTCCTAGTGTTGAATAAAAAGTACATTAGATACCTGGTGGTGGCACATGCCTTTAATCCCAGCACTCGGGAAGCAGAGGCAGGCGGATCTCTGTTAGTTGGTGTCCAGCCTGGTCTCCAGAGGGAGTGCCAGGATAGGCTCCAAAGCTACACAGAGAAACCCTGTCTGGGGGCGGGGAGGAAAAAGAAAAGAAAAAGGTATACTACACTATCCTTGGCTTAAGAAATTGAATGTATGCCCCCCCCCCCCTACACATACTGGTAGTTGAACCTGTGGCCTCACACATGCTAGGTAAACACTCTCCCATTGAGCTACAGGCTTAGCCCTATTTGCAATTTTTATTTTGAGAAATGATCTTTCTAGATTGTCTATAATGACCTTGAATTTTAGATTATTCTGCTTCAGTCTCGCCTGTAGCTGGGATTACAGCCTAGACACCAGGACTGGGCAACCTTCAGACTGTATGGCTAAGGTTAGCTTTAAACTCTTGATCCTCCTCCATCCATAACCCCAGTGCTGGGATTGCAGGTGAGCACCATCGTATCTGCTCTATGCAGTTTACCCCCACACCTAGGGCTTTGCACTCTTATCAACTCCAGCCCTAACATACTATTTATATGTATGAACTGGAGTCCACTATGCGAGATCTTATTGGACATTGGAAACTGGGTCTATATGAATCTCAGTTCCACCGTCTGGATATTGTCAAGTCTAAATGAGTTTGGACATTAAGGTGTCCTTTCTAGAAGAGACAGTCAAACTTAAGTTGTGTATGTATATATGTATGTATGTATTTAGATCGGGTCTATATGTAGTCCTGGCTTGGAACTTGCTATGTAGACCAGGTAGGCCTTGAACTCATGGAGATACTCTTGCCTCTGCCTCCCAAGTGCTGGGATTAAAGACGTGTGCTGCCATTCCTGACTTTATGTTTTTAGATGTTTGAGCAGAAAAAGACAAGGTCTCTTGGAGTGATGGCATCCTTTTTTTTCCCCCCCCAGACAGGGTTTTTTTTTTTTTGTGTAGCTTTGGAGCCTATCCTGGCACTTACTCTGTAGACCAGGCTGGCCTCGAACTCACAGAGATCCACCCACCGCTGCCTCCGGGATTAAAGGCACCACCACCACCGCCGCCCACCGAAGGCTTCCTTTGATAAGGGAGACAGTAAACCTAGGGAAGAAAGTGTGTGAGAGTTCTTTGCTTTCTACCTTTTGATGAATGAATTCGTACATCTTTGCTAATTCTGCTTTTCTTTAGCTTTCCGCAGCTACCATGGGCCATCTCAGTTTTTTTGTACTTGCAGTTCTTTCAGTTTTCCCCAGCAGATGTCCCAGTGTTCTCACCATTCTCTGCCTCTTGACTTAAAAGGCATTTCTAGCCTACCTGGTTGATTGCAGTTTCCTGCCACTTGCTCCTCCCTGTTTTTTTTTTTTTTTTTTAAATAGGAAAGGTACTACAATTAGCCCTAGCTGGCCTAGAACTTGGTACATAGGCCAGATTTGGCCTCAAACTCAGAGATCTGCCTGCCTCTGTTTTCTGAGTGCTGGGATCAAAGGTGTTCATCGCTGTTGCCTGGCCCTGCTTTGTTTTTCTCCGCAGCATATATACTTCGCTTTCCTCCCTCCTCTAGCATACAAACTCCATGAAGGGAGAGCAGAGGTTACTTTAATCTGTTGGTATGTTCCTAGTGGTCACTATAGTTCCTGGTGCATACTTAGAACACTATACTTCTCTTATTTTTGAGATTATAATTATAATTATATAATTTTCCCTTCCCTTCTCCCTCCAAACATATATACCCCTCTTGCTCTCTTTCAAATTCATGACCTCTTTTTTTATTAATTGTTGTTACATGTGTATATGTTTATGTATATACTTATATATTTCCAAATATGACCTGCTCAGACTATGTTATTATGTATGTATGTATTTGGTATTGGACAACTAGTTGGTGTGGTCTTCCTTGGGGAAGACTAGTTCTCTGTGTATGGTTGAGGCCTCCTGGGTTGCTGCCATTGTCCTTGTTCAGCTCATGTTTAGGCAGTTGTGTTGTGTTGGTGAAACTTTATGGGTATAGGTTCTGGTATTATTTACTAGAAGACACAATCTCATAGCTGCCCCCTCTTCTGCCATGTTCTCTGAGCCTTAGATGTAGGAGTTGTTTTGTGGATGTATCCCTTGAGACTGAGCTTCACAACTCTGCAGTTTGATTGGTTGTGGTTTTCTGTAGTGGTCTCCATCTGTTGTAAAGAGAAATTTCCTTGATGAGGGCGAGCACTCTGTAAATTTTTTTTTTGAATGAATGAACTCAAATGAATTCTTTCTGGAAGTCTTTCCTAGAATCTCTCTTCCAGTTTCCTTCAAAACTTTCTTTCAAATCACCTGTCCTTTTATTCTCATCTGCGTTTGTCATTTCTTGGTCTAAGATTGTACAAAAGCCTTCTGTTTTGCCATTGAAACTAACCTGGGTCTTGATTTTCTGGGGCCAAAGAAAGATCCATCCACGAATGGAACAGAAATGTACTCTGGCTGCTGCTGCTTTCCTATTCTCTTTCCCCAGACTGCCTCAGCTTTTTATATTTGGGGAATGCATGAGGATGGTGACACCCAAGCCAGCATGCTTCCCTCCACATTGACAGCTCTGGAAAGGCTCATTTCTTCAGGAAGGTAGCATTAGAATATCTTGCTGGGACACATGTAATCCCAGTATTTGAGAGCCCAAGGCTCGGTGAATGCCCAAGTTTGGGACCCCTTATCTCCATAGCCAACAGGCTACATAGCAACATCCTGTCTCAAATACCCAAAAAAGAGAAAAAGATTTGTGGTAGAGGCTGTAGAAGCTGGTGAAAGTGTCAGGAAACAGGACTGGTGACTTGTGTGACCCACCCAGGTTCTGAAGTGTAGAGTGATGGAGTTGAGTCCACTGGAGTGCCAGCCCCTAGCTGGTTATTTCCCAGTGTTCTATTCAAATTGGTAGTTTTGTTCTTTGAACATAACTCTTGGAGAAAGGCAGTCTAAGAATATTGAAGGTGCTCAGGTGTGTGTGATTGATTCCCCCACCCCCTTTTTTTTTTCAAGACTGGGTTCGGTGATGATGGTGCATGCCTTTAATCCCAGCAATCAGGAGGCAGAGGCAGATTCTGCCTGGAAGAAAGAAGGTCTTGGGAACCTGATAAATTTTAGGGATTTTTTGAAACTTGTGAGCTCTTTATTTCCTGAGGGTTTTTGTTGTTGGTTTTTTTTTTTTTTTTTTTTTTTTTTTTTTTTTTTTTTTTTGGCCTTTCCAGACAGTGTTTCTCTGTATAATCCTGGCTCTGGCTCTTCTGGAACTCACTCTGTAGATCAGGCTTGCCTTGAACTCAGAGATCCGATTGCCTCTGCCTCTCCAGTGCTGGGATTAAAGGCATGCAACATACTGCCTGGCTACCTGGTCTTGTATTTTATGTGAACAGGTGTTTTGCCCTATTGGGTCTGTATACACTGTATATGTAGTGTCCATGGAGACCAGAAGGGGACATGGAATCACCAGAGCTGGTTGTTAGTTCCATGTGGGTGCTGGGAATTGAACCCAGGTCCTCTGGAACAGCAGCCAGTGCTCTTAACTGCTGAGCCATTTCTCCACCTCTGTGTCCTGGTTTTTAAAGAACTGTGTCTTGTCTGTCTAAAAGCTCTGATTCGAACACCATCTTGTGCACATAGGGGACCTTCAGTTCATGTTTGCAGGCTATCTTAGTTAGGTTTTCTATTGCTGTGAAGAGACCAAGGCAACTCTTTTTTTTTGTTTGTTTGTTTTGTTTTTTCGAGACAGGGTTTCTCTGTAGCTTTGGAGCCTAGCCTGGCACTCGCTCTGGAGA